AACAACAACATACTTTGACGAGAAGCTCTGGTGGCGTAGTGCCTGAGGCACTTGACTGCTAACCAGAAGGCTGGCGGTTCTAAACCCACCAGCCACTCCTCCGAAGGAAGGTTGGGCAATCCTACTTCCGTAGTGATACTGCCTCAGAAACCCAAGGAGGGGTCGCTATGAATCGGTCGGACTCCACGGCACATAACAATACTTTGAAATGCAAACAGGCAAAGTAAAAAAAAAACGGAGTTTAGGATTTTCATGGCAAGAATCGTTTATTATACCGGAAGCTACCAGATGATTCAATATGGATAGTCCTTTGCTCTGTAAGGTAAAATCTTCAGTTGCAGCTCAGTAAACTAGAAAAGATGAAGAGAAGGGAACGAAAGTTTACTTAGTGTGTACAGTGGGTCTGGCACTTACAAAGGTAGAAGAAAAGGAACAGAAATATTTCACCTGTTTGGGTATGGAAATTTCACCATTGTTTTTCATTCTATTTCAAAGTTATGCAAGCATCTCACCTCAGGAAAATTTCCCTGCCTAAGAGAACTAGGAAGAATGGCCTCCAGTTTTAAATGAGCCATCAAGATCTATTGTAAAGGGGAAAAGTAAAAATGGGAGGAGGCAAAGAAGAGCTAGCTAGGTGCCTGAGATTCCAAAACAACCTAATCCTGAAGCTTCATTCCCTAGGGAATTGCTTTAAGAAATGGCGAAGTTTGGCTTGGTAGCTGGAGGGAGAGAAGGACTGAATCGTTAACTTTTAATTCTCCCAACAACCTTTTAAAATATCATGTTTCCAATGAGGAAGCTGAAAAGTAGAAAGATTATATACATTGTTGAAGGTAACATTATACCACAGCCTCTCTTATATAAGAGGTAAAAGTTTGTCAGGCAAATAAGGTGAGGGAAGGACGGTATAAGCAGAGGAATCAACATAAAGAGTCCATTCCAAATACCGGTACCAGGCCCTGTGTTAAGTGCCCAGAATGCAGAAAGAAATAACACAGCCCTATACCAGCTGACACTATAGAAACATTGAAGAAAACAAAAGAGTACACATGCTATGATGTAGGCAAATGTATCCGAAAATGATAGGACAACAACATCCTGAGGGAGAATGGGGAGAGAAGCTATTGAAGGCAGTGCTTTAACTGAGTCCAAATAGGGTTATCCCCTGCTAATCCTAAAATTGTTCTGGGATAGGCTCTAAAAAAGTGAAATCTAAAGAATAACTGAGAAGGTGAGAAAGGAAACAGACTGCTCTAATCGATGGCATTCCAAAAGGTCTAATCTCCATTTACTCAACAAATAAGTGGGCCACAGGTAGGAGGGGAAGGGAGCGACAATCACAAACTAGAGGGTAGATGCTTATTATACACAATAAGGGGAAGGCCAGCACAAAATGACCAAGGCAGTGGAAGAGATAGGGAAGAGCACAAGAATTGAAGGTAACAAAGGTGAATACTATTATATACACAATCCTGCAATTATAATGGTTTAGGACTGGATGCATAGACAGACACTCAAACTGAGCAGGGGAGAGAAGATGAATGGGACTACACCCAAGAAATTAAAAAAAAAAAAAAAATTAAGTGAGCCACATTTATTTAGGAGCTCTGGTAGCATAGTGCCTAAGGCACTTGACTGCTAACCAGAAGGCTAGTGGTTCAAACCCACTAGTCACTCCTCGGAAGGAAGATGGGGCAATCTACTTCCGTAGTGATACTGCCTCGGAAACCCAAGGAGGGGTCGCTATGAGTCGGGGCCAACTCGATGGCACATAAGAACAACAACAACAACACATTTATTTAAATGATGGAAACTGTTAGAAGTAATGAAAATTGCTAGGATAAATTATTAGGAAAGTTTACAGTAGGGGTATTCATTTAATCTGGTTGGAAAAGTTAGGAGGTTGAGGAAGTCATATTCAGTGGCTATCCACACAATGAGAAACTGAAGAAAGGGAAACAGAATATGCTGTGTAAAGGCCTTTTGTCAGGAGGGAGCATTGCAAGTGTAAGCGGCTGAAAGGAGGTCATTGTGGCTGGAGCATAGATTACAGGGAGTACTACAGTATGGGGAGCTCTGGTAGCATAGTGCCTAAGGCACTTGACTGCTAACCAGGAGGATGGAGGTTCAAACCCACCAGCCAGGCGGTTCAAACCCACCAGCCACTCCTCGGAAGGAACGTTGGGCAATCCTACTTCTGTAGTGATAACTGCCTCGGAAACCCAAGGAGGGGTTGCTAGGAGTCGGGGCCGACTCTATGGCAAATAACAACAACAACAACACTACAGTATGACGCTGGTGACCAGATTCAGCAGGGTTTCATTGGCCATATTAAGAACCTTTATCTTGAGAGCAAAGCTGGGAGAGGGGCTTTTGACACGCTCGGATCTGTGTTTTGGAAAGATTAGTACTACTGCAGTGAGGAGAACAAAAGCAGGCCAACACTGGAGCAATTAGGAGCTATGCATTACGGACCCCATCGGTAGTCATTCAAGTGGAATGGTGTAGGGACAAAGGAGAGGGAGTCAAGCGGAGGAAATGGAACAATTGACGAAGTAAAATGGGGAGCCCTTGGTGATTGGTTTAGATATGGCGATGTGGGATGGGGGTTGAAGGAGATTAACAAATCCTGTCTGGCTTTCCCAGTGGGTGTTATCACTGAGATATGGGGAACACTGGAAAAAAATCAGGTTTCAGGGAAGATCGTGATTTCAGTTTGAACATGATGAGTTTAAGATGTTTGTGTAACTTCGAAGGGAGATAACACGAAAAGAGTTGAATCTAAGGTGATTCACTGAGGTGAAGATTGGGCTGGAAAAAAAAATAGTTTACAGTTTGTAATCTGCCCTATTCTGAAAGGTACTAACTTTTCAAAATGCAAATATCCTTTTAATTTTTTTTTTTATTTTAGGAAAAAATCTCACATGACAAAAGAAAAGTCTTTAGAGCAGATTCCCAGACTTTCTGAGAATCATCTGGAACCCTTGTTAAAAATCCAAATCTTCAGGCCCTCCTCTGGAGACTCTGATTCCATAGGTCTGGCATGGGGCCCAGAGACTTGGATTTTTAATGAGTGCCAGGGTGATTCTTCTCAGGAAGTTTTACTAGGCAGCCTCCAGTGCTAAAAACACAAAAAAAAAAAAAATTTACTGCTGTTGAGTCAGATCCAACTCACAGCAACCCCTCCTTGGTTTCTGAGGAAGTATTGCTACGGAAGTAGATACCCTAGTCTTCCTTCCAAGGAGTGACTGGTGGGTTTGAACTGCCAGCCTTCTGGTTAGCAGTCGTATGCCTTAAATTTTCACCTGAAATGCTTCTTAAATTGATACTCTAGACCATATAGTCTAAAATCTCTAGGGATAGAAAGAATGGGAGAAATATGGTGAGGAAGATAGTGTGGCACCAGGTGGTCCAAGACTTCACCCTCTGTCTTTGGCAGGAGTATCCTAGGCTCTCTACCAGGCAGTTCAGAGGACACAGGCACCCTTTGCTGGATAATGCATATGTAGGCAGCCTTGCCCACTGAATGATGCTCAATTCTCTTTTTCTTTCTATTGCTCCCATCAAGACCTATCTTTCTCTTCCTGACCCCTAAGTCTTCAATGTATGCTCCAACACTGTCTTTCCACATCTTCCAATTCAGAAGTTTTTCAGCTAATCCTTTGGAAATAGGGTCAAATATTGAGTTTCACTCTTTCTGGCATTTATTCTAAAGAGCTTACTTGGGAAGTGATTTTGTATTTGTTTTTTAAGCCCAAATTTATTTGTTCTCTTTGGGTTTT